TAAGTAGGATAACTATAGATATAACCCACATTAGGGGACTTATAATCCCACTTATAACTACCCGTGGACCTCCAAGTAGATTTCTACTTCCTACGGCCAATAAACCCTAAACCTTACAACGCAATTATTGGGTTCGTTGCACCTTCGAGAAAGGTCGGGACTCTTCGCATGAACTGTAAAGCCTACTTGTGCGTGGGACCACGGGCAACCAGAAGTGTATTGAAGGGGTTCGGAGCTCTCGGCAGCACTATATAGTCACACTCCCTATATCAGTCTGCTTCGTATGCCCCAAATCCCTATTCTAACTCTTCATTCGGGCCCCTTGTCTAAATCATGCAGTAACCCAGCGCTACTGAACTCTTACAGTAACCTTTACTCTGATGCCCAGTAGTACCCTTATTCCCTTTTTGTAGTCCTAGGTTCCTTATAAAGTTACCCAATACCAAAAAGAGAGGCCTTTTATTCTGAGGTTACTGGGTATCCTAGTTTACAGATCCTTTTTTGGAAGGAGCCCCCAAAGCTGACCCTATTTTGGGTTCTTAAGGTCCTCCTTAACCCCACGTAACCTACCTTTTTAAGGACTTATATAAAGAAATCATATCAGGGAACCCTACAAAAAGTTGGTTCCTTAAGGGCCAGACATGATGGCCTAATGGGGCTCATGGGTTCGTAACCTAAAGGGAACTCCAGAAAGTTGGAATATGGATTAATGGTAGGATCCCCTATAATTTACCTTAAAGGGGTTACGATAGTAACCTACCTATAGTCTCCATTGTAGTTCCTTTTTTGGGTTAACCAAAATCTCTATTATAGGATCCTAACCATAAAACTGGTTAACCAAGAAAAGGAACTACAATGGAGACTATAGGTAAACCCTAAACCCTAGACCGTGGTTTTGGTCTGTGGGACGCCCAGGTTTCGAGGATGGAATCTGCGATTGCGGCATGAGGGTTTCGAATGAAGTCTCAGGGCTTCGGGCACGAATATATGCAAATTATGGTCCCGTTTTGGGTCCCTAACATAGTACGGCACTTAATATTTAGGTTACTCAAAAAGGGGCCGTAATTTTTGATAACTATCATAATTAAGGCCTGTGGCGGGTTTAGGGCCCCTGTAATATAGGGTTTAGCCTGTTGCATTTTGGTTAGGGGTGCGTATTGTCGGGACAATGGGCGATAATATACGGGCCTTAATTACCCTAAGGGTCCATGTACTCACATAGTATATACATTGGCCTCAAAGTACTCCCTATATAGGTGCATTGGGCCCAAAGTACATGCTATATGGGTACATGGACCCTTAGGGTTAGAATAGGGTATTGGGGGCTTAGGGTGGTGTAGTAGAGAGTTGCGAGTTCCGGGTCGGTGAAGCCAGCTCTTGACGCACTCCATGACTTCGGCCCAAGAAGCTTGATCTACAGCGCAAGTATGGAGTCATTCAACCATTGATTTTCGGGGAGCTAAGGAGCCAGGGATGATGATAATCCCTAGTAAATAAGGAGCTAAAGAGCCAAGGGAACCCCTAAAAGCACTGGTAAGTCATTCAATGATATACTGGACCGGGTACATGCAGCTCCGGCGGCTTTGAGATTTCCGTTCCTTTGCACCCTCACTTGCAGTTCCTGTTTCCTACCAAAAGGATCCTATCAGTGGTCGATCAAAAGTAAACTTACATGGGAGCGTATAAGTCGACTCTAGGGTTGGGGGTTTAGAGTTTAAAGTAAAAGCCAGAAAGTTGGAGTATGATTATCCTAAACCCTTTATGGTAAGTTACAGGGTATCCTCCCCTGAAACCATCTTCCAACTTTCTGGAGTTCCCTTTAGGGTAGCCTTCCGTTGAACTGAACGCGGCTGGAATGTCATGCCGCTGAGTGAAGATGACTTCGGAGTTGCGACTTGGACTTTCACCAGTCAAACCATGAACCTTAAAACCCTAAACCTAAATCCTCCAAGCAGCTTTTCTTGTTTGCAGGCTTGAGGATGTTTACAGGAATCTTTCACTGGCTTAAACGGCCTTCACTGCGTCTTGTATCTAGAAGATGGAAGTTACCTAGAGTCTCCTTTGTAGTTCCTGTTCTTGATTTAACCAAGCTTACATGTAGGATCCTATAAGGTCACGAAAAGGAACTACAAGGGAGACTACAGGTGTTTACATCAGCCTGAAGCAGCCTACCTATGCTTGTCTTCGGAGCTCGAGCTCCAACCGTGAACCCGAATCCCTAAAGTAGGATGCCCAGTAGTACCCTTATTCCCTTTTTGCAGTCCTAGGTTCCTTATAAATTACCCAATTTCAATACCAAAACGGGAGCCCTTTTTAATCCAAGGTTACTGGGCATCCTAGAAACTCTGTAAGGATCATGAATCTTTTCAGGAATCCATGTTCGCCTCGGAGGGTTTTGTTGTTTGTTCTGAGGCTGCTCAATTCTGTATCCTGTCTCGCTTCATGTTCGTGTGTATACCCTGAGCATCCGCTATTGATTAGAATCAATATTTTTGGATAAATTTCCATTGATATTGATTTTGATGGCCTATATTGATTATATCAATTATATTGATATTGATTTTTTCTCTGTTGAAGTATATATTTTGGCATATTTATTTCTATTGATTTTACTGATACTTCCGATTGATTCTGGTATTGATTTTTTCTTGCTCCCTGATCCCTCGAAACAGGGATCGATTTCAAACATATGTAGCCCGAAAACATGAGTGCATGTGCACTGCCGGCGGCCTGCAACTTTGGCTCAAGTGTGCTGCTCCCTGCAGCGAGGTGGGAGCAGCTGGTGTAGGCTGCTGGAGCTCCGAAGGAGTGGACGGCAAGTTTGTTTCTGCCCTAGAAACAGGGTGGAGAGCGAAAACTTAAGGACCGTTTTTTGCATCCTGGGAAGGGAAAGCTTTCTGCCCTGGAAACAGGGTGGAAAGCATGGCCGCCAAGGGGCGAGGAGGGGCCAGGCACACCCCGAAGCCTTTCACAGACGAAGGTGTGCTGTTGAAAGTGCTGGGGGACCACAAGGACCTCATCAAGGACCTGGGACCCTACGAGCTAATCAGTCGGTCTGGTGCAGTGGACCCAAAGGGTCTGGTTCGCAACCTGGACCTGCTCAGGGACCTCCTGAGGGCCGAACCGACCGGTGAGGTCCACACCCAGCCGACAGGCCCTGCTGAAGCTCATGAGAGATGACCCGACCGTGAACACTTCTTCTTTCAACGGGTCGGTGTGGAGCAACCTGAAAGGGGAGCGACTCGGCTGCTTGCTGAACCACACACGAAAATGGGCGAGGGCAGAGGTTGAGGGAAAGAGCAATGCAGCCAGCAAGCTCACGGCTTTCGAATATCGGAAGCTGAAAGAGCTTCTGGACCTGTTCCAGGACAAGGAGGTCCCCGAAACGGGACCCAGGCTGGCCTTGGAAGACAGGAAGCCGCCTTCGAAAGAAGGCAGGCAGCTGCGGCCCAAGCCTTCCCTGGACTCGGACGGTTTCCCGAAAATGTTTGGGGAAAGCCAGGCAAGCAGTCCCGAGAGTGCAGACGAAGCTTTGCCAAAGGGACGAGCTCCCTGCTCGGTGTCTTTCTTGAAGAGAAGAGCTGGGCAGAGCTTAATGGTAGGCCAAGAGGAGCCAGAAGAGGAGGCTGCTGATGCCTTGAAAGAGGCAATGGGCCTTGGTGGGACGGGTGCTGCTGCTGGAGGCAGCAAGCCTGCAAAAGGCAAAGGCAGGGGCAGAGGAAGGGGACGAGGAAGGGGCAAAGGCAAGGCAAAGAAAGGTCGGGGAAAGGGCCAAGAGCCGAAAGAGCAGCCCTTGAAAAAGCCGGCTGCCTCTCAGCCCATTCCCGGCCACGTGGGCGGCTGGAAAGCAGTCAGGAAGACCAAGGCCAGCAAGCCGGCCCGGTGCTACCTGACTGGTACCTTGGGGCCGGCTGGCAAGCGACTCCTGATCACGGAGGTGCCGGAAAGATGGACAAGCCAGTACGAGAAGGTCATCGACATCATCAAGAAAGCCTTAGAAAAGGATCCGAAAATGACGAAGGACCAGGCCCAGGCAATGAGGACCAGCCTTTGCAAAAAATACCCCTGAGAGGGGGTCTGCAAGAAGCTCTGCCCTTGAGAGAGGGTCTTGAACCCTCGAAACAGGGTCGACTGTGCAGCTGCCCGCCCTGGAAACAGGGTGGGCAGAAGTAGCTTTTTTGCAAGAGGCCCTGCTGGCCACGTCTCACCCTGACTTTACCGTTCAGGCCACCGGGAGCTAAAAAACAAGGGTTCGGGGATGGAAATACTTATTATGGAATATATATATATATATATATATATATATATATATATTCCATATTATATATATATATATATATTTATATTTCTTCCTTATTTTCTAATTTAGAAGAGTGTTCTGGAATCTGTTTTTATTATACTTTCTTTAAACGGTGCTAAACGAGAGGAAAGGACAAATTTGGGTGGGGGGGGGGGCAGGGCGGCAGAAAAATCGCACACACACACACACACACACACACACACAAACATGTGTGGGGTCTGGGGTCTTAGGGTGAAGCCTTTTAGAGTTTGGGGTTTCCCTTGAAGCTTTAAACCCCGGCCGGTAAGCTCGTAAATTTTATAGTGTCGCAGCTATATATATATATATATAGATATATATATATAGGTATATAAACTTAAGCCCCGATTCACTTGGAGCCCTTGAAAAAGGGCCTCCAGCAATAATTTAATGCCCTAGTCACCTGGAGCCCTTGAAAAAGGGCTTCCGGTAACAGGCTTCCCAAAATATATCCCTTAAAGAACCAATACCAAAACCTTTCAGCCTAGCCACCCCCAGAGTAAGGTAGCCTAGAGGCCCAACAAAGCTTTTAAAAGTAGAAGCCTGGAGACCCCAAAAGCCTAAAGGTTCGAGGTACCCCTAGACACCCTGAAGCCCAAGCCCAAGAGAAAACTCCGGTGTGTCCGCTGCCGTTGGGCTTAAGAGCTCGCCAGCGAGCAAGAGGTGGGGCACCCTGAGCAGGATGCCCGCCTCAAGGGCAGTCCCGGGAGTCAAGAATAGGCAAGGGAAGCCTATAGGTACCGGGACTAGCTCGAACAAGAGGAAGGCAGACCGCCTTGCAAGGTTCGGCCCAGGGTCGGACCAAGGAGGTCTGCAGTACTCTCAAGCAGCTGCAGCTGAAAGGGAGGAGGCTGCAGCTGAAAGGGAGGAGGAGAAGCTCGACCCTAGAAATAGGGTCGGGCAGTGGTGGACCCCTGAGCAGTGGAACCAGTGGGAAGAAGACTGGCGGGTCTGGCACCAGCACCGCGACTCTCGAAACAGAGTCGAGGAGGCCAAGTGGTGGGAAAAAGACCACGACGACGGCGAGGACTCCAGGTGGTGGTCGGGTGACAAGCCGCAGGAGCCAGCAAGCTACAGCAGCGGTGCTGGCTGGGCAGAGCCTTGGCCCAGAGAGTGGGGGTCAAGCTGGGGAAAGGAGTGGGAGCCCTACTCGAAACAGTGGGGCTCTCAAGAGCCTTACAAGGCAAGCCCTAGAAACAGGGCTGAGGAGACTGAGGACGAGCTGATGGAAGCGAGGCCCGAGCCGGTAGTTTTGAGGGAAGCCCGGCGAGGAAGGCGGCACCGAGCCACCAGCACTTCCTCCGAGGCCAGCCGCTCCCGCACACCACCACGGCTGGACCCGGTGCCACCTGAAGGCATCGAGATAGTGGGTGCGAAGAGCTCGAACTCTAGCGAGCAGCCCTCGAAAGAGGAGCAGCAGCCGAAGCCCTTGAGGGGAAGCAGCAGCAGCCCAAGGGATCTGTCGGCAAGGCAGTTCAGGGCAAGGGCAAGGCTGTTGCTGCCGAAGGTGTGCCAGCAGCCAAGGAGCCGGAGCCGGACACAGCTCCCGACCCTAGAAATAGGGCTGAGGTGCTCCAGGCGGCCAAGCTGTGCTTGGACTGGCACCAAGTCCTGCAGCTGGAGCTGGGGAAGGAGAACGAGATCCGGCCGATGTGGAGTGCTTCCGTGCGAGCACTCAAGCAAGCGGGCTGGGAAGTCTTTATAATCTCCTTCGTCACTCCGACTCACAACGAGGCGAGAGTGCAGGAGATGTACAGGATGCTGGAGGCAGCCAATATCCGGGACCAGGTGACTGGGGTTTGGACCTGCCCTGAAAGGGGCGGGCCAAACGGGAAAGTCGCCCTGGCAACCAGTCTTGGCTGCTCTTTGATCCTGGACGACAATCCAGTGATCCTGCAGGAAGCCCTTGAAAAAGGGTTGAAGGTGTTCGCGATCACCACGAAAAGAGAGCGGCACCAGGACCTGGCCAAGAAGCCCGGTGTGCGAGTGTTCCGAGACCTCTGTGTGGCCACGGAAGCAATTCTGTGTCAGATGATAGACTGCAGAGACTTGTAACCGCCTCGCAAGGCAGCAGGCCCTAGAAATAGGGCCTTGGGCCCTTGAAAAAGGGTCCGTGCCAAGAGCACAGTAGCCCCTAGAAATAGGGTGCTACAGTCGCAAAGCAGCCCCTAGAAATAGGGTGCTGCAACCTAGCCTCACACTGCAGCCCCTAGAAATAGGGTGCTGCAGTGTTTTTTCGGGTTTCCACAATATAGAACCCCATAACCCTAAAGGCTTAAGCTTAGGCTTTAGACCCGGGCCTCTAGGGTTAGAAGCTAAGAGCTTCTAATATGTTGTAATGCTAATATATACTATAAATTTAAACTATATATATATATATATATAGTAGACACTATATATATATATATATATATAATATAGTAGCATAATTGTGGAAACCCGACGTCCAGGCCCGTCTCACCCTTCACACAGCTCGTTGTCCATCCGAGCGAAAACAGCTGGGCCCTGGGGTTTGGGGTTTGCTTTAGGGTTTAAGGGTTTCGGCTTCAAACCCTAAGCCCCACCAAAACCTTTCGCTTAAACCCTTAAACCCTAAACCCTTAACCTTATAGGGTTTGCTTTATAGGGTTTGAGGGTCTAGGCTTCAAACCCTAAGCCCCACCAAACCACTTCGCCTAAACCCTTAAACCCTAAACCCCACCAAACCCCAAACCCTTAACCTTAGGGTTTGCTTAAGGGTTTAAGGGTTTCGGCTTCAAACCCTAAGCCCCACCAAACCTTTTTGCCTAAACCCTTGAACCCTAAACCCCACCAAACCCTAAACCCTTGACCTTAGGGTTTGCTTTGGGGTTTAAGGGTTTAGGTTGTAAACCCTAAGCCCCACCAAACCCTTTTGCCTAGACCCTTGAACCCTAAACCCCACGAAACCCTAACCCCTAAACCCTAGGGTTCAGGGGCTGGCGGTTACGGTTTCTGGGGTTAGGGGTTGCTGTGTTTTTGGGTTTCTGGTGGTTACCGGTTCAGATTTTTAAGGGATAGGGTTTTAGGGGTTCAAGGTTTAAGGCTTGGGGGTTAAGGGTTCTGGTAAAAGGTGTTAGGGGTGAAGGGTTTTGCGGGTTTTAGGGGTTCTTAAGGGTTTTGAGGTTTAGGGTTCAGGGTTTTAGGGGTTAAGGTTTTAAGTTTCAAAGCTTAGTGATTTAGAGTTTTAGGGGTTAAGGGTTTAGTGTTTCAGAGGTTGTAACCGTTCAGGGTTTTAGACACGAAAACCCTAAACCTTAGAACCCTACAACCCCCTAGACCCTCTAGCCCCAAAAAGCCTAGCCTGTATAACCCTAGGCCCCAGCCCTAAGACACACAACAAAAGTTTGAAGCCCTTGGCAAAGGGCTGGAAACTTTAGAGTGTGTGGGAAAGGGGAGGGGGGGACGGTGGTGGTGGTGGTGGTTGCCACTGTGGTTGGTGGGTGGAAGGGGGGAAGTTGGGTTGGTGGGAAGGGCGGGAAGCTAGGTGGTGCGGGTTGGGGGGCGGGTGGGGGAGGCTGGTGGCAGGAACTGTGGAATCTGATCAAATCTGATCAAATCTGATCAAATCTGATCAAATCTGATCAAATTCTGATCAAACCACTGTTTGATCAGAATTTGATCAGGATTGATCAGATTTGATCAGATTTGATCAGAATCTGATCAGATTAATCAAACCCGGCACCTTTTTCAAGGTGCCGGGCGAACACCAATTGTTTATGGAGAAAATAATGTTTGGTGGATGGCAGGGGATGGGTCTTTGGGGCTGGCCAATGTAAGCGCTTTTTTTGGTGGTGCTGCCGTGGGGCTGGGTGGGAAGAGGTGGGTGGATTGAGAGGTGAAGGGAATGGTTAATTAGGCGCTTTTTTGGGTTTTGGGACGGGGTGGGGAGGGTGTGATGTATGTTTCAAGCATGTAATTTATCTTTTTTTTATTTATGGGTGCTTACTGCACTTATGTTTGTATATGTTTGTTTCTGGATGTACTTTTCTATTTACTTAGAAATTTTAACATACATATATATATATATATATATTTGATGGATTGTTTCAGAATTTTTTAGATATGATATATTGTATATTATACGTGAAATACCATATGTTTACGATTGTATACATTGAATCACTTTTGAAACTATGATTAGATTTTGCATTGCAATGATTGAAACGATTACTAACGTTTGAAAAGGAATGATTTAGCTATATATATATATATATGTAGCTACATATATATATATACATACATACATACACTGAAATTCCATCTAGTTTCCATAGACTTATAGGTATGTACGATTGAAGTATTTTGTGTGTATATATATATATAAACAGAAATCCCAAGCCCTCGAAAGAGGGCACAACAAACCCCAAATGACAGCAACACTCACAAAACCACAAACCATCAAAGCCCGAAAACCCGAAACCTCGAAAACCCTTAAACCGCCCAAAACCTTAAACAACCCTGAAGCCTAGAACCCCCAAACCCCCAAAGCCCTTGAAACCAAAAATCCCCAATCCCCTCAAAACCCTAGAATAATAATTATTTAAACCCTCAAAGCCTTAAAGGCTTCAAACCTAAAGCCACGGAAACCTAGAACACCCAAAACCCCAAACCTTCGAAACCTTAAAAAGCCAAACCCCCAAAGCCCTTGAAACCTAAAATCCCCAATCCCCTCAAAACCCTAGAAGAATAATTATTTAAACCCTCAAAGCCTTAAAGGCTTGAAACCTAAAGCCACGGAAACCTAGAACACCCAACACCCCAAACCTTTGAAACCTTCAAAAGCCAAACCCCCAAAGCCCTACCCCCCTAAGCCCCTACACCCCATCACAAAACCCTCTAATGTTTTTTTTTTAACTCCGGGACCAGAAGCCGAAACGGGCCGCCATGTGGCTCAAAGAAAGAAGCTTCAAGCTTAGTTTTTTTCGCAGAAAACCCACTCCTGAGGAGTGGGTTTGTCCGAAGACCCCAGAATGGGGAAAAAAGGAAGCTTCCCGACGAGCAAGCTTCAGAAAGTGAAGGCCAAGGCCAAGTGTGTGGCCAAGGCCAAAGCGAAGGCCAAAGCGACGGCCAAAGCGAAGTCTTTTGCTTCAAGGGCCCTGAAAGGGGCTCTTGCGAAGGCCAAGGCGAAGGGCCCCCTGAAAGGAGTGCTCAAGCCGACGAAGCACAACTTGAAGAAGCTGGGAAAGGAGAAAAGTTTGGCAGAGAAGGTTCAGGACCTTGCAAAAGGAGCCGACACCGCAGAGGAGGCGGTGTCGAAGGTCCAGCAGGGCCTCAGCAAGCTGGACAAGAGCAAGTTGTGGAGCCAGCACAACACCCACTTGAACAGGAACCCCGAGGCCAAAGAGAAGCAGGACAAGCTGGGGAAGAAAGACAAAGGTGCTGCTGCGACACTGTGGTTCCTTCGAGACAAGGTGCCACAGTTCGCCAACTTCTCAGAAAACAGGGAGGAGGCGACGACCTTGAGAAAGGTTGACAGGTGGTTGTCGGAGAAAGAAGCCCTGAGCAAGTGGACAGAGGCCGAGCTTGAAGCCCACTGCCAGTCGGGCAGAGTGCAGTACCGGGAATGCCCAACCACGTGGGGGGTGTGGGAATACCGTGACAACCACGACTTCGTCAAGGAGACCTCTGGAAGGAGGTCTCGGAACTGGTCCCGTGGCCAAGAGTTCCACCTCGAAGACGACGACGAGCAGGAAGAAGGCCTGGAGGACTTTTTCGCCTTGGACGTGGAGAAGCTTTTGGGCCTCACAGAGGGCAAAGGGAAAGGCAAGGCTCTGGCCTTGACAAAGGGTGGAAAAGCCAAAGGAAAAGGCGGCAGGAAAGGCAAAGGCCAGCAGCAGGAGGAAGGGCAGCTCGCCCTGCAGGACGGCTCGACAGCGGAGGAGAAGGACGACGACGTGCAAGCTTACTTGGGCAAGGCCAAGAAGGCAAGGGACCTGCTGTCGTGCACATACAACAACCTCGAAGAGGCCTTGGCAAAGGCCAAGGCTTCGTCCTACTGCAGTGCCGCCTCGCAGAAGGATGCCAAAAAAGCTTTGGCAGACCTGGACGGGCTGCTGCAGAAGACGAAGGGGGTGGTGTCCTCGAAGAGAGCCTGCAAGAAGGAGGTGGTGGTGAGCCTCCTTCAGCAGGCGGCGGCCACGGTGAACCAGGCGAAAGACCTGGGGAAGGAACTCCTGGCGATGGCTGCCAAAACACCCAGCAAGTCCTCGAAGCTGAAGTAATCAGCTCGGGCACAGTGGCATCCCTAGAAACAGGGTGTAAGACCACTGCCAGTGCTCTCGAAACAGAGCACAGCACTCCTTTGCTCTCGAAACAGAGCAGGACAGCCGTTGCTCTCGAAACAGAGCACAACCGTCCTCGACAAAGTTTTTTTTCGTGTCACAGCTTCGGCTTGTAGACCGAGCCTGCCAACAGGCTGGCGACAGACCGGACTGCACTGCTGCAGCTCTGCCAAAAAGAAAGGGTTCTTGTGAGCAGTGTTTTGGGTTCTAGGTCCTTAAACCCAGAAGCCCCAAGCCCAAGCCGAACCCTCAATAACCTTACGCAGTGCCCCAAGGCCCAAGCCTCACCTCAAGGAACTTGCTTGGCAGCAGAACCTCTTCGCTGCCGTTTTGGCTTGAAATCATAGCGAAGCTAGAGCCATGGCCGGCCGTGAGCGAGGCCAGCCAGCCAAGAGGCTCAGAGGCCATGCCCTGGACTTGGCAAGGGGCACGGCCGAGCAAAAGGAAAGGGTTGAAAGAGGAGAAAGCTCCCTCGCAACAGGGTTGCTGTCCTTGTGGGCTCATGGGAACATAGCAGCCACGACCATGTGTTGGTTGGCCCTCCTCGCCACACTGGACGGGGTGGAGCACGAGGAAGTTGTAGCCTTGGCCAAGGCTGGCAACTTCGGGCAAGTTCCCGGCAACTGTGCCAGGGACGTGACGAGAAGGTTTTGCAGTGCTAGCCGTGTGCCAGAGCCTCTGCAGGTGCCCATCCCGGTCTTGGACCCTAAAACAAACAAGGACTCGACTGAAGATGCCGGAATCATGTTGCCA